AGGATGAAGGAGTACTTGCTACTGCGTCCTTGTTGATCCCAAGTAAGAAATTTAATTTGCTATTGGGACGTTCGTTCATTTTAATTTGTCCAGTATGATGACACATATTCATTAGCAATAAATAAAATGATAATATTTGGATAACACAGAGTGCGTAATCTAATACTTCCTCTGTCCTATTAGTTGATCACTTTTCATTTTGTATGATGCTTAAAAAATCATAAATACAAAGATAATTTTATTAATTCACCCTTTCAAAAAATATTTTGGAATTTTATAAGCAAATATGAACACTTTTAAAAAAAATTAATTATTAGGATAATATAGAAAATATTAATATAAGATAATTATTTTTAATATAATGATTAACTAATATGAGAGGAAGAGAGTACTTAATTCTATTTTCAAACAAATTCCTAATTGATTCTTTGCAATTAATTTAGGGAAAATGCATGAGTACCCCCCAGCCTATGTCCGAAACCCCTGAGACACACCTAACCTTTACTAAGGTCCTATTACCCCTGAACTTATTTTTTTATTAATTTTCTACCCCTTTTTGGCCTACGTGGCACTATCCTTGAAAAAAATGTCAACACGCATTGGGCCCACAAGATAGTGCCACGTAGGCTGAAAAGGGGTAAAAAATTATATATAAAATAAGTTCAGGGGGGTAATAGGACCTTAGTAAAGGTTAGGTGTGTCTCGGGAATTTTGGGTATAGGCTGGGGGTACTTATGCATTTTCCCATTAATTTATTACATAAACAAATATATTGCTTACTTAACGTATCATAAATCTACACGCTATTTACCTCCTCTTTCTTCTCCCTTCACTTTTTTTTTCTCCTTTTTGAATATTTTCTTATAATATAAGTTCTTCTTTTTGAATATTTTCTTATAATATAAGTTCTTCTTTTTGAATATTTTCTTATAATATAAGTTCTTCTTTTTGAATATTTTCTTATAATATAAGTTCTTCTTTTTGAATATTTTCTTATAATATAAGTTCTTCTTTTTGAATATTTTCTTATAATATAAGTTCTTCTTTTTGAATATTTTCTTATAATATAAGTTCTTCTTTTTGAATATTTTCTTATAATATAAGTTCTTCTTTTTGAATATTTTCTTATAATATAAGTTCTTCTTTTTGAATATTTTCTTATAATATAAGTTCTTCTTTTTGAATATTTTCTTATAATATAAGTTCTTCTTTTTGAATATTTTCTTATAATATAAGTTCTTCTTTTTGAATATTTTCTTATAATATAAGTTCTTCTTTTTGAATATTTTCTTATAATATAAGTTCTTCTTTTTGAATATTTTCTTATAATATAAGTTCTTCTTTTTGAATATTTTCTTATAATATAAGTTCTTCTTTTTGAATATTTTCTTATAATATAAGTTCTTCTTTTTGAATATTTTCTTATAATATAAGTTCTTCTTTTTGAATATTTTCTTATAATATAAGTTCTTCTTTTTGAATATTTTCTTATAATATAAGTTCTTCTTTTTGAATATTTTCTTATAATATAAGTTCTTCTTTTTGAATATTTTCTTATAATATAAGTTCTTCTTTTTGAATATTTTCTTATAATATAAGTTCTTCTTTTTGAATATTTTCTTATAATATAAGTTCTTCTTTTTGAATATTTTCTTATAATATAAGTTCTTCTTTTTGAATATTTTCTTATAATATAAGTTCTTCTTTTTGAATATTTTCTTATAATATAAGTTCTTCTTTTTGAATATTTTCTTATAATATAAGTTCTTCTTTTTGAATAGTCTAACCAGTAGTTGACTTAGAGACATTCTTTGGTTATCTTCTATAGAGATTTTACGTAATTGAGATCAACAAGTTGGTATTTGGTCATGAAAATCAAATTAATATTATTTGGAATTATTTAACATCTCAAGAACTAGTCAAAATTGAAAACTCTCAAATTTGCCGCTAAATGCACCTAAATCGTTGTTCAATGCAGTACGTACGCTGCACGAAGTGGGATCATTTCTTTTTAACTGATTAACAAGTATTCAAAGCAAGGACATAAATCTCAATTCACAAAGTATATACTTTTTTCGTCCCTTTTAAATACTTGTTAAATTTTGACTTGACATATGGTATGTCACATACCCTATTAAGATAAAATAATTGGTAAAATGAGTTAATCATTTTATCTCTATTAAATGATAGAATCTTAAACATATTTACTCATTACATTTTTCAAAGACATTAATTTAATGTTAATAAATTAAGGGTATAGTCGGAAGAAAATAATTGTTCTTCCTTGATTTGTCCAAAAAAAAAAAAACAAGTAAAAAGGGAAATCAAATTAGAAAATATTTGTCATTCTGGGTGTGTTTGGTTTGAAGGAAAATGTTTTCCTGGAAAACAAATAGACTTTGGACTTATTTCTCATGTTTGGTTAGTGAATAGAAAATATTTTTCGGAAAAGATTTTTGTGTGTTTGATTTATGAATGAAAAATATTTTTGAGAAAATATCTTTTATTTTTAGTAGGGAGTAGAAAATAATTTTTGAATTGAAACTGAAAATATTTTTTAAAAATAAACTTAATTTTTTTGGGGGGAGGGTGGGG